GCACATTGTTTTGATATGCCAGGTATTTAAATGAGTGTGAATAAGACAGACATAGAGAAAGTATGGTGGGGTGGCCAGGTCTTCAGTCTTCAGGAAACCTTCTACCTGGCAGCATATTAAAATGCTAGAAGTATATTCATCAGCAGGGACGCGGGTGGTGCTGTGGGTAAAACCTCAGCGCCTAGGACTTGCCGATCGCATGGTCGGCGGTTCGAATCCCCGCGGCGGGGTGTGCTCCCGCTGCTCGGTCCCAGCGCCTGCCAACCTAGCAGTTTGAAAGCACCCCCGGGTGCAAGTAGATAAATAGGGACCGCTTACTAGCGGGAAGGTAAACGGCGTTTCCATGTGTGCTGCGCTGGCTCACCAGAGCAGCTTCGTCACGCTGGCCACGTGACCCGGAAGTGTCTGCGGACAGCGCTGGCTCCCGGCCTCTAGAGTGAGATGAGCGCACAACCCTAGAGTCTGTCAAGACTGGCCCGTACGGGCAGGGGTACCTTTACCTTTACCTTTATATTCATCAGCTTCCCTACCCAACCTATTACCACCACTACCAGCTTCCATTTAATAGTGTGGGCAGCTCAGTCAACAGCTCATTAAGCGGCTGTAAGCAAGCCCCTATTCTCTCAGTACTTCTGATCTGTAACATGGGGATAATAATACCAACCTACCTTGCAGGGTTGTTGTAGGGATTTCTAAGTTAATGTATGGGAAGTGCCTGAACACTACAAAGCACAATATAAAAGCTGTGCATTGCTTTTGCAAAGGGCTCACACTTATTTTTTTCGTTTCCCCTCACAACAATGCTATGCTACAGCTTTAAACAAACGAACAAACAAATCCTTCACTTTACAGATGGGAAAGAGTTTGGACAATGCTCAAAATCCAGCTCAGCAGTCTCCACATTTGTGGAGAAATACAGAGGCTTCTCACTATGAGACCCAAAATTATGGTTCTGAATAGGGCTTCCTTTATTATCTTCCTCCTTTCATCAACCATGAGACAGGAGGCCATAATTAAAGGCTCCTGCCAACTAAGCAGTTCGAAAGTACGCCAGTGCGAGTAGATAAATAGGTACCGCTCTGGTGGGAAGGTAAACGACGTTTCTGTGCGCTGCTCTGGTTCGCCAGTCATGCTGGCCACATGACGCGGAAGCTGTACACCGGCTCCCTCGGCCAGTAAAGTGAGATGAGCGCCACAACCCCGGAGTCGTCCGTGACAGGACCTAATGGTCAGGGTCCCTTCACGTGGCACTGAATTACAAATCAAGGAAATTTAACAGTGTGGTGCAATCTGGATTATATTTTCTTAATTGATCATTCTGATCCATTGAACAGTTAAGATGGAACACTTAGATTTAAACCACTGAAAGGCTGGAATCCTGTAATCACCTATATCAGGATGTAAACCCCACTGAATTCAGTGGACAGAGCAGACATGTATAGGATTATGTACTGTAAACACTAAGGGATTATAAAGCATCTTAACACCAAGCACTCTGATTTAGCTGCTTCATATTCTGGATGTTAACACAGTGCTGTGGGATGGACCCAAGCACCTTCCTTTGAGGGTTAGCTCATTAAAAGAAACATAGGAAATAGTGGATGTTCTCGGTTTTGCAGAGATCATCTCTGCAAATTATGATTGCCAATTGGCAGGACACCTGAAGAATGCATCATATAGTACGGATGCAAAACGTAACGCAAGAAGCCAGTATACTCTCCCTGCTGCCGTTCACTTCAGACATGTACCAAATTTCAGATTTCATGCGGCTGTCAACAAGCTGCATCAATAAACTAAATTCTGAGATAATAACTAAACCTTATTATGGAAATGTAGGGAAGTATGCTAAATGTGCTTTGTTTCTATCAACTCTGGATTCCAAGTAAGGGACGTATAATAATCTTATGGACGCTTGCTGGGGAATAAGAAGCCCGGCTGAACAGTGGGACTTATTTATGAATAAACACTAGCTACCATTTGTTGAGATGAGTGTGTATGTGTATATTTTGTTTCCTGTATCTGGCAGCTATACTCTATTACTTGTTTGTGAATGGATAACGGCAAAATTAAATTGGGAAAAGCCTTTAGAGGTTTTTTTTTAATAAGTATGAAGAACTGTAATTTAAAATTTTCTTTCTTTCTCATCACTGAACAGTGAGGCCAGAAAATTTCACCAGATACCATATAGTCTGTTATCTAACATCCTTCTCCAGTCTATTGTTTTAAAATTGTTCTTATATTCAAAGCCTACATGGGTAGCTCATGCAAATAAACAACTCTTACAGAAGCAGGTGGCGCTGTGGTCTACACCAAAGAGCCTAGGGCTTGCCGATCAGAAGGTCGGCAGTTCGAATCCCCGCGACGGGGTGAGTTCCTGTTGCTTGGTCCCTGCTCCTGCCCACCTAGCAGTTCGAAAGCACGTCAAGTGCAAGTAGATAAATAGGTACTGCTCCAGCGGGAAGGTAAATGGCGTTTCTGCGCGCTGCTCTGGTTCGCCAGAAGCGGCTTAGTCATGCTGGCCACATGACCTGGAAGCTGTCTGCGGACAAACACCAGCTCCCTCGGCCAGTAAAGCAAGATGAGCGCCGCAACCCCAGAGTCATCTGTGACTGGACCTAACGGTCAGGGGTACCTTTACAGACAATAAGCGAATTAATAGCATAAAAATCACACTGTTTAGTTTCTAAGAATTATCATCTAGCAGTTCTACAGCCTGTGCTTTTCCATCCAAAACTATACAGTTCAGGTACTTATATTAGGATCTAGTATCAGGATGAACTATTTCATTACATTTCCCACCTTGCACACTGACAATATATCTTAGGTCCTGTCTGCACTATACATTTAAAGCTGTTTCATACCACTTGAAACAGTCGTGGCTTCCCCCAAAATGAACTTGGGAACTGGGTATGATACTGCTTTAAATGTGTAGTGCAAACGGGGCCTTAGAGTGACCTGAATCTTAGGAAGAATTTCATGGAAGTTCAGATGTTCATGGCCAAGCTGTACTAGGTTTAGTGCTGCTTTATACTGTATTTTGTGTCATGTCATATTCAGAGTTTGTTATTGTAAGTGGTTGACCAGTAAACTAAACTGAAACTTAGTTTCAATTTTTAAGGATACCCAGAGAGACTTTCAAAAGGTGTCTCATGCATAGCATCTCAAATTTTCAGGTCTGGCTGGACATCCAAACATCTTAGCTGTTTTTCCCATCTTGCCTACTATGTGCTTGTATATATTTGAAGTTTGTATACATAGACACATCACCGCTAAAGGATGAACACTGAATGAAGGCACAAAGAAGTCCACACTAAGACTATTTATTCTTTTTTCAACTCACCATGAAAGCATTGACCAGTTCCTTTACTTTCTTCTCCCTTTTGCCATACAGGGCATAAGTACACCATAGACTTAAACTGCTTCAGCAAAAAATCCCTCTTCATGAGAAATGCAGGTAACTGTCGTTTTATAGTGGCGTCTAGCATTCTCAGAAACTCAGGCATTTGTCATTCTAGAGGAGAGTCTAGATCTAGATTCACTAAGAAAGTCTTCTCAGAACTTCGCATGATTCCTAGGAAAGCCATGACTATTAAATTGGTTAAAAGACTGAAGTATAGATAGGCTACTTCGAAAAACTGATAAATTTAAACATTCCTATCTAGTGGTGCATCTGGGTCATTTTAGACTCTGGACTTAATATCCATATATGAGGAGCCATCTTTAGGTACTAACTTCACTTGCTTCAAGATATGGTAAACCAACAGCCTTGCTTCACCAGGAGACCTCCCTGGCTCATTCTGCTGAGTGAGGACCTGGGTCTCTGCCCCAAAGTCCTGCCCAGACTTAAATTCTCATATTCTTCTGCTGAGCCCATGAATGTTAATGATGTGGCTGGCCATTGAATCAGAACCATGGGGATACTGAAGAGTCACAGCAGGACCAGACCTGCCATGCAGCTGGGTTAGGGGACCTTCACTAAGAGGAAAGACAGCAGAAATTGGTGCCACAAAACTGTTTCAAGCCTTGGTCCTGTCAGGAGGCAAGGGCTTCATTTGGACTCCAGGTAGCGAAATATCTTGGACAGAGACTGGGGAAGACGAGAGTGTGACTGGCACCTTCACATCAGGGTTTTGGCAGTCCAAAACTTACCCTCTGTCCTGCAAGGGAAAACACATCATGGCTGTGTGCGGAAAAAAGAGGGGAATAAATCTGCTGGCTTCGAGAGCCTGCAAGTCTGTAAATTAACTCTCCTTAAGCCCTGAGTGCATTAACTTGGGAGGTTGAGGAGCAGAGCCAAAACATCTCTATTGATTCACAACTTGTTTTGAGTAGTCACCCAGAAAGGCAGCCAGTGAATCACTCCAGCCGGTTTAGTCATGCAACCACATTGAACGCACACCCGAAGGAAGCGCAAAATAAACAGCCTACAGGCCCAGATAACACACACACACTCTCTTTCTCTCTCTCTTCATGTGTGCTGTCTGGCCTCCATACATCTTGTTGAGGATAGGCGTCTCATCCAAGCAGACACATTTGGGAAGCATCTCCAAACTTTTCACCCAGGCAGATCCTCCTCTGTTTCATCTGCTTTGCAGTGGGTGGCTTGCTATCAAAAACAGAGGCGGGTGGGGGGAAAAGACTTTTCAGCTTCTTCCTTCCCCACTTCTTGTTGTTTTGGCCTTGGCAAAAAAAAAATGCCTTTTAGGGGGCGCCAGTGTGAAAAGCCATGGAGAAAACAGGGTTAATTTCAGAGCAAAGCAACGGGAAAATAAACAGGCCAAGCAGGAAAGGAAATCTTCTCTCTTTCTTTTTCTAGTTGCCCAGAAAGAAGAAGAAGAATGCATAGAGGAAAGGGGGAGAGGTCTGGCAGTTTGGATCTTTTGACACATCATTGCTGCAAACAAGCCTCCTCTTAAGGCGGCCAAATCAATAGCAACAAAGTTTCTTTCTCCCTCTCTGTGAAAGAGATGCAGACACATCTGGTCTGGGAAAAGCCCTACCTTTCAAGCGCATGAAGAATCCCACAGCCTCGCTGCATGTGCAGACGGAAAGGGCTCCGATGCTGCCTCCAGGCGAGGAAGGACTCGCTCCAAGCTCCAGGCGCCTCTCGCCAACTTCTAAAGCCAGATCCTTCGCTTCCCCCTCCCCTCTCGCTGGGAGGGCGCTGGAGCCGTTTGAATGACCGCGCTGGCGACCCCTGTTGTGCAAGAGGGAAGGCGAAGGCGCAAGCCGCGTCAGAACTCTTAGCTCCGAGCGAGAGGCACCGCGGTAGCCAATGGGAGTCGCTCCAGGAAGGAGAGCGGGTAAGATGAAAGCCAGCGGCGGGGAGCCGCAGGCTGCCGCGAGTTCCAATCCTGCCGAGGGCTTTTCTGCTAAGTGGTACCAGAGGCCTGAGCTACACACGGAGCGCAATGTGCAGTGGCTGCAGGTGAGGGCAACTCTCTCACACACAAACACACACACACACACACACACACACACACACTGTATTCCCACCGGCTGTCTGAACTGGTGCAGACCAAATTCTGCTGTCCTAATTGTCCTCATCTCATCCCTAGTCTCGATCAAACCGTATAGTCCAAGACTAACCATGGATAGTCAGAAGTAAGTCCTACAGTATTCAATGGAGCTTACTCCTAGGTAAATGTGGTTAGGATTTCAGCCTCTCTTTTTCTTTTCATGCTTCTCTCTCTCTCTCTCTCTCTCTCTCTCTCTCTCACACACACACACACACACACACTTCACCTCGTCCATTCTTCACTTGATCACTCTGAGCAGAACCAGCCCAAACTAAATTTATTTCAACAGGAGACAGTGAAACTTTAACTTAAAAAATAAATAAAAACCAATGGATTTTTACAGGGACTCTTCTTTCGACCTTTAGTCTTTCTTATCCCTAGAGTCACGTTTCTCCTTTCTCACAGACCTATGACTTATTCTGTTTATGAGCTTCAGCTTTTGTTCACCTTTTGCCTCATTAGGTAAATGTCAAGGGACCCCTGACCATTAGGTCCAGTCGCGGACGACTCTGGGGTTTCGGCGCTCATCTCGCTTTACTAGCCGAGGGAGCCGGCGTACAGCTTCTGGGTCATGTGGCCAGCATGACTAAGCCGCTTCTGGCGAACCAGAGCAGCACACAGAAACACCATTTACCTTCCCGCTGGAGCAGTACCTATTTATCTACTTGCACTTTGATGTGCTTTCGAACTGCTAGGTGGACAGGAGCAGGAACCGAACAATGGGAGCTCACCCCATTGCGGGGATTCGAACCACCGACCTTCTGGTCGACAAGCCCTAGGCTCTGTGGTTTAACCCACAGCATCACCCACGTCCCTTTTGCCTCTTTAGATGACACTATATCTATGGAAAAAGCATACATGTAACTCTCCAGTGGTTTGACTTCACCCCCCAAAGGCACACATTCTTCCATTGTCCCCCAAGACAGATGGATGCCAACAACAATATCCATGGTTCCTTCATTCCTATAATTTGGAGGCAGGGGGGAGTAGCCATCTTCAATACACTGTATAAGTTTGATCCAAAAATCAGGGACATTGCTATGATGGGTGCAGTGCCACTTAAAAGACAACATCTCTCCTTTGCAAGAGCTGGTTAGAATGTCCCACCACTATCAGGATATTTTTCTTCCCTAACCTTGCTTCAGGATGGACTGTTGCCCCTTCCTCACCTTGGGCCCTGGATCTCCAGGCCAACTTCAACGCTGCACCACCCTTGTTCTGAAGCGGGAATGGGCAACCTGTGCCCCCCCCCGACAACTCCCATCATCCCTCACCATTGGCCATGCTGGCTGGCTCTGATGGGAGCTGAGTCCAATAACATCTGGAAGGCCGCAGGTTGCCCATTCCTGTTTGAGGAGCCAAGAACATTGGGTGTGCATCATTGTACACCTTCCTTTTGTGCTCTCACCTAGAAATCAACCAAACATTGAGGGAAATCTCTCTGAAGTGCCCCCCGTGCAAAAAAAGACAGAAGTTAGTAATTACTTGCAAGTTGCTTTGCTGGAATGACATAACTTGTTCTTCAGCTTTCTGGTACAGCAGAGATGGCCTTCCAACTGTTGTTGGGCCCTATCGTGGCCAATGATAAATGTCTATGGGAGTTGTAGTTCAACACTTCTGGAGGACCACATGTTTCCCATCCCTGTATCATGCACTAATCAGTTCAAAGGGCTCTTTCAAGACATCCCTACATGATCATCGCCTGACGGCTGCAGCCTCATGATGATTTGCATGTGTGTATGAACTGTCACAGATTTAACACACAGAGAGACAGAACTTCCGTGCACCAACATCTAAAGCGCATACAGTCACTTCACCAAGGACTCAGCCTTATTCACACCCAATACACAGTTCAGTGGAAAAGGGGGTGCTGGAGAAGATTGGATCACTTCAAGGCCACAGGTGAGTGATACCAAGTTTTTGACACATCAAAATAAACAGCAAAACAAGCAAGTAAGAAGCAGACAAAAACAAATTTCCTAGCAAGTAAATGAGTCCATTTCATCTGATACATGATTTGTTATCCTGTTGGCAGGATGGGGCTGGTGCGGGGAGAGAAAGAGATGAGAGGTGGTGAGGAATATGTAAGCAGTGACGTCAGAGGGAAATGAAATGTCAATAATACAGTCTGGGGCAACTACATTAAAGCTGCAATCCTGTGCCAATTTACCTAGGAATAAATCTCTTCAGCTCAATGAGTCTGACATCTAAATAGACATGACCTTGGCTATAAAAGAACTACAGTGACCATTCCCAAAAGTGGTGTTGATGATAACACACCCACCCTGGCATTGGTGATGCAATGAACACTCAGCAATGTGTTTGAGATTGGCAGTCTCCTCTCCATTATTCCACTGCAATCCATGGGGCATATGCCCAATATGTTAAAGGCCAGGGTGTATCTAAAGCTTTAAATCCAGATACTTCAAGTTCCCTGGGGTACAGATAGGGATGAAAGTGAGTCTATTTGAAAGAGACACTCCTCATCTCAGACCTGTATTTTACAAGATTAGGGAGAGGTCAGTTCACACCGCTGTAGCAGCCCTTTAGATCAGCAAAATGAAAATTAGAGCTCTACAGGTCTGTGGTATCCAGCTTCACAGTGACAATTTTGCAAAAGAGACATGTTTACACTGGTGAAATTGCTATGTGCTCCCCAAGCCAAGTCTGTGGCCAGTCATTTCACAGAGACGTATCATTGCTCCATTTAGCTCTGTATTGTCTGCACAGACTGGCAGCAGCTCTCCAGAATTCTAGGCAGGGGGTTTCTCCAAACCCTACCTAGAGATGCATTGGACCTTCTTCATGCAAAGCAGGTGCTTTGATCCTTCTCAGAGACTCAGAGATGGGCTGACTGTGGAAGTCCAGAATACGTTTATTTTACATGGTGATGATTGATGAAACTTAACACATTTGAAATCCCACATAAGCTCCTAGAACATTGTGGGACCAGCAACAGCAGCTCCAACACTGTGTCTCAATGCCAGGAAAATACTCTCTTTCTCTCATGTACAGGAGCACTGTGATACAAAAAGAAGAAGCAGAAGTAGCAACCCTAAGCATATTGTTGGTCCTGAATGACAGATCCAAATGAGCAGCAGGTAGGAATAAATTGCAGATTCTGAACCCCTTACCGGGGTTCTGAGAAAAGATCTAATTCAATTGGATCTCCCAGCACCGCACACAGAGCTGCCTCTCATGCCACGAAGAGAACCGATTCAGACAGCTCCTGCAAATCGTGGCAAAAGATAGCTCGAGTGAGGAGAGGTGGTTGGCACATGCATTCCTCCAGTTCAACTGCCTATTTATTACAAGCTGTCACCCTTTGCTAGTCAGTTGCACCATCATTCGATTTGTCGATAGAGAATAAAGGAAAGAAATCCATAGCACTGTAATGGGGAATTTGTCTCTCTCCAGGTGTTATTGGGCTGCGGCTCCCATCATCCCTGACCATTGGCTGTACTGTGTGGGACAAGTGGGAATTGGGGTCCAATTCCATCTGGAAGGTCAAAGCAGTCAGTTCCTCCTTTTACGTGGTTTTCTTGCTCCCTCCCGTAAAATCGCTAAACCCCGATTTCCTGGCTGAATTTCGTTAAGTTAAAGGCAACCGGTTCGCGGCTTATTTTGTGAAGTGGACTGCTCCGTTTTCACTCTCTTCCCAGGACAGGCTTTCTAGCATTCCTCTTCTCACTCTCAACAGACCACCGGATTGACCTCATCCACCTTTCGCTTTGAGTCTCTTTAAACTGCCCCTTATTTCTAAATCATTAATGCAGAAGCAGGCCAATCTTGTCGTGGCGAGCTCACAAACCACGATGCAATTTCAAATATCCTCTCCATCCATAAGAGAGGATGGAGGCAAACGATCTTGGTTAAAGAACAGTTTTAAGAGTTATCAGAGCAACGCCTCCTCCCTCTGCAAGACGGAAATGCCTTTTATCTGCACCATTCTGCAGAAATTCGTCGTTAGTAACCTTTAAAACTCTGAACCAACCCACTGCAAGCGTAATAAAATGAATAGCTTGCTCCAGGAAATTTCTCTGTGTAGACTGTGCTCTGTACACAGATCCCGCACACACGCACCAATTTTTATGGTGGTGGTGGGGATAGATGATAACATCGAACTTGAGCGTCACAATAATTGCATCCTCCTGATTAAAGACTTTAGAGAAGAGCAAACAAATAACTTCTAAAAGTGTGGTTTTGTCCAAGACAAAGAGAATATTAAAGGGGGATCACTGAGATCGTGGAAGGATAGACGCAGATTCAGCTTGCAGTGCAATCGCATGCACATCTACTCAGAAGTAAGTCCCCTTTATTCTCAGGTTGGTGGGTATGCGATTGCAGCCCTCCGCCGCCGCCCCCCGACAATTTTTCTCCCCCCAGATAGGTGGCTTCTGGGAGTCACGAGGAACCAGATGAAGAGACCTGTATCTTCCTCACCTGGACCTTATTTTTGGACAGCGCGATCTGTTACAAACCTGGTGTCCGTTTCTCCTTGTACTTATTCCTAGGAGCGAGTGACAGCAAAAATCCTTGCATGGTTTGCAACATCTTCCGTGAACGTTATAAGATCGCCACTTCCAAAAGCGCAGACTTGTTTGCCTCTTTTAATAAAAGCAGGAGCCTGATGGTACCCAGAAACATTCATTCTGGCGTCCACTTCATCAGACGCATGCAATGCGGTCGCCTGAGTTACAGGTGTATCCAAACACAGGGTCGTAGCGGTTTTGCATGCAGTGAGATCAGAGGGAAATGAAATGCAGAAGTCACCAGGAGCTTACCATAGCAGCGACAAGGATCGCTGCTCTACTCTGCCTGATCTGAGAGGACAAAAGAAGATCCAAAGTCAGTGGCGTTGGGCGTCCGACAGATT